ATAAAATGTAAAAACAAAAAGCCCCCCCCCCCCCCAACCCCCAATGTTCAAAACATAGTTATGACCTTGTTACACCTTTATCAGTTTTTTGTTTTTTTTACTATTTTCAGTAGCAGTCCAGTCGATATTGGATATTTATTTGTGCATGCTTTCCATTATTTTTACCTTCAGATTACATTTGCCATAATCTAAAACTCACTTGATGTTATTATTTGATAATATTAATAATAATTTAATAACACTAAATGGTTAAATGTAACCATGAGAAAATCTCAGAATTAATATCTTTTTTCACACTTTATATTATAAGTGGGATGCTTAAATTCACTTGTAGCATTTAAAAAAAAAAACTTGTAATTTTTGGTGTTTTAGATTTAATTTATTTGGACTATATAGTGTAGAATTTTAATATAATTTACTAGCCATATCATAAAATTAATTATCAGCATACCATATCTGCCAGAACTTTAGTATTGTGGCATTCTTACCACTTACTATTAATTAATGTTTTTTTTTTTTCTTTTTTGTACTCGCATAGAAGTTTCTCATGTGCTAAAATGTTCTTGTGCCCACACAATATTCTCAGTGCTTTTTTCATGCTAATGTCACTTAGCATGCAGGGTCTTCATAACAAGAACTTTTTTAGCACTTAATTACATTTTCAGATGTAACAAGATCGTTTTTAGACAAGATGAACTGCAGTTCAAACTTGTGTATCAAGCTTCAGGAGACAAATCAAATAATTCAGTTTTTTTTTTTTTCCATTAACCATTTCAATACTACTGGCTGTAGGCAATAGATGCTAAATAGGAAAGTTGTTCCAGAACCAACAAAGGATGTTGATCTCCTGTTGGGGTAAATTACATTGTGTCTCACAATAATCTCAGATCTTGGTGAAGTGTGAATTATTTTCAGTGTTAAAATGCTTTCTTTTCCAGCAATAAATAATTCATTCATAGATAGATTTTCCCTGAAATTGGTAAACACTGTGGGGCTTTCAAAACACTGCTGAAATTACACACTTCACCTTTAGACGCTAGGCTACAACAACTTTAGAGAGAGAGAAGTGGCTTAGAAAGTAAGAAAAAGAAAAGAAAGTTGATTGAGAAAGGCACAGAGGCAGGCAGAGCGAGTGACTCAGAGACTGTCAGGCAGAGAGAACAGTGACAGAGGACATAAGAGGAGTGTTCAATGAGTTCACACAGGTAAAGAGGATAAAAGGCTGTTGTACAGTGTAGAGCTGTTCTCAGGTTTGAAGACCTTGAGCCCTCTCTCTGTCTGTCTGTCTCTCCATGGCCCTTTCTGCTCTTCTCTGATCCAAAATAAGGCTGGAGTGGCTGAAAATAGTGAGTTGTGATGTCACTACATGAAGAAGGCTGAACTCATGAATATTAATTAACTTGTGCTGGTGTTGCTGATGTTTAACATTGATGATTTGCCAGATGCAATATTAAACCAATTTGTACTCCTCACATTCCATAATTAATTGATAATTAATCAGAACTGAAATGTCAGTCATTTAACACCATACAGTGGGTATAGAAAAGAATCACCCTCCTTTAAAATAATCACATTTTGTTGCTTTGCAGCCTGAAATGAAGACGGACACATTTTTTGTTTTATCCAGCTGTATTTACTCAGTGCAACTTATAACATCCAAGTGAAAGATATAACACCAACATGTCAGAAAAAAATTTAAAAAACAGAATCGCTGAGTTGGAAAAAGGATCACCCGTCTCCTAAAAATGACTTGTAAACTCAATCAGGTGTAGCTAATCACCTTCTCAATGGCACACACAGCCATTTGACTTTCAGCTGTGATCTGCTGTGGTCATTTTGATTAGCTCAGCATGAAAAGAGCTTTCCCAGGGGCATTCCAGTCCCTGGTAGTGCAACTGAAGCAAACAATCAACTATGGGTGGCAAGGCACTCTCAAAAGATCTCCGGGATAAAGTTGTGGACAGGAACAAGTCAGGAGATGGATACAAAAAAAATTCAAAGGCTTTATTAATGTCTAGAAGCACAGTGAAGCACTGCGGTTCTGCAGCAGGGACTGGAGCACTTGTAATTAAAGCAAAAGGTGGTTCAACAAAATATTGACACAAGGGGGTGATCTTTTTTTCATTTCAATGATTCTGTTTTTTATTTTTTTGTGACATGTTGGTGTTATATCTTTCACTTGGATGTTATAAGTTGCACTGAGTAAATACAGCTGGATAAAACAAAAACTGTGTCCGTCTTCATTTCAGACTGCAAAGCAACAAAATGTGATTATTTTAAAGGGGGGTGATTCTTTTCTATACCTACTGTATGTGTGTGTACATTTTATTTAATGTGTGTGTTTCTATTATTCATTTATAATTAATCAAATTAAAATTTTATATAAATATAATTGTTTCTATTTTACAAATAAAATATATGTATTATTTATTTTCTACAATTAGAATGTGTGTGTGTTTCTAATATTAATTTAAAATTAATCAGAAGTGACATTTTATATACATTTGCATTGCATACATAATTATTTTTTAATTTGTTTATTTCTGTTAAAAGATATAATTAACAAATTAATTAGCAAATATATATGCTTTCATTAATGTGTGTCACTCTGTATGTATATAAAAACATATTTTTTGTTAAATTCAGGTGCTAAACAATAGCAAATCATCATAAATGAGATATATATGATATAAGCTGGCTAAGCTTGGTTGAGTTGGCTAAAGATGGGGGTCGGCCTTCAGTTCCGTTGCTCCTGCTCAGAATAATCTCTTTTCACTCATCTATACCCCACAGCCATGATGATCTGGATATTTGGATTCTTGTGCGTGCACTTGTTTAGGTTTAATCCACTTACTATTGATCCAGCAAGCTTTGATTTCTACAAGGACCCCCATAGCTTATTTCAAACTTTAAATGAAATCCTTCGCTTGATCAATAACAATGGCAAATGGAATAAAATGTGGCCTTCGGCCCTGTTTTAATTACATGTTTGCAAGTACAGTGGTATCTCCATTGCAGTGTGTAATTGGGCGCACTGGTAGACCTGAACGTATAGAACGTGCCATTTGGTTTGTGTATGTATATATAAGTGTAGTCTGGAGAGTTTGAATAAACACAAGAAAGCATGAAAATAAGTCTCTCTTTGTCTTGTGCGGCACACAACTATAGGTGTGGTTGAGGATGAAATAACTAATTAGTGCCACAAGTTAATTAGATCGTACAGGTAGCATTGGCAAGATCATGTACAGCCCCAAAGGAGCAGTGAGAGTTTGTGTGCATTAAGAGAGAGTGTGGAGTGTACAGAGAAAGAAAAAGAGCAGCTGCCTCTCAGAACATGAAGTCGGGGCACTTTTTTTCCCCTGAAGCATTCCAGCTGTGACAAGACCATGTTCCCACTGGCCACACACTTTCAAGTTGTGAGGGGTTGCAAAAGGGAACTCTGTGCCTCTACGGCATTGAGCCCTCTTGACTCATGACTGAGCGTTTGTCTCACAGCAGTGTGCTCTGTTTCATGCCGTACTTCAGATTTGAAATAATGCACCTCACCTCTGTGTGTTTACAATCTGTCATGGTGGCGTAGTTCCACTTAAAATGAGTCTACAGAAGGACAATTTTTAAATCTGGATGTTTATAGTGACAGGAGAAGAAATATTGTGAATGTTACCATGTAGAGCGTCTTTCAGTGGAATTCAATGGAGCATTAAGTTTTCAAATCTTTTCAGCCCTAGTCGATCTGACAGTGGCTGGTAAACATGCCCTGACAGTATATCACTGTTTTTCCTCATAGGGAGGTCTGTAGCAGAGGCTTCACTACAGATCAGTCTGAACTGCAAATCACAGAGGAGACTAGAAAAGGGTTTATGACCAGTGAATCAACAAACACGTTTGAGTGGGTGGGAGAGAAGAGAAAGACCCCATGCATAACCCTTTATGTATTTTTATTAAATGCATTTTATGGAAACCTGTTTCAGTCTTAGAGTAAAAAATATTTTATCTCACAATTTGCAGTTTTATTTCTTGTAATTGTAACCTCATATTTTATAATGTGACTTTATATCAGTTGCAAATTATATCTCACAGTTGCAACTTTACATCTGACAGTGTGACTTTATTTTTCAAAATTTGACTTTATATTTCACAGTTGTGATGTTATATCTCACAATTTGGCTTTATATATCTCACAATTTAATTTTATATCTCACAATGTGTCTTGTTTTAAACTTGATCTCAGTGACCTGTTTTATTTTTATTTTGAGGCAGAAATAAGCTTCCATACTATTTTTGTGTCGTTGTTTTTTAGATTTATTTTGCTTAGTATGTGGTATTGGCTTTAATGACACCATGTACTTGAGCTGACATGGACTGATGATCATGAAAATGACTGATTTGAAAATGATTGAGCATTTTGTGCTTCAGTGGAAGCAGTAACATCTTGGCATAACATGGTTAAAGTCTAGAAATTGATTAATATACACTAATGTTCAAAATTTTGGGATCTGTAAGATTTTTTAATGTTTTGCAAAGAAGTTCTCTTATGCTTACCAATATATATAAATTTATTATATAAAATTACAGTAAAAGCTGTAATATTGTTAAATGTGTAGGCAATTTAAAATAACTTTTCTATTTTAATATATTTTAAAATGTAATTTATTCTTTTCATTTTATTACTGTGACGGCAAAGCTGAATTTCCAGCAGTCATTACTCCAGCCTTCAGTGTCACATGATCGTTAAGGAATCATTCTAATATGCTGATTTGGTGCTCAATTTTTTTATTATTATTATAAATGTTAAAAACACTTATGCATTTATTTATAATAGAAATGTTTGTTACAGTCTTTACTGTCAAGGTTGATTAATACAATGCATCTTTGCTGAATAAAAGTAAAAATAATTACTGACCTCAAACTAATTAATTTTATCTTGAAGTTCAGAATCTTAAATAGTGTTTTGTTTTACATTGTTTCCCGTATGAGATGTTAAACGAAAAGTAAAATCAATTTGCAGTCATTGAATGGTGAAATGTAATTATCATTAAAGCTTAACAAGAATGAAACATCACCGATGAGTGAAACACACCACTAATGAGAATCCAGCAGTGGTTTTATTCATTAATCAGGAAGTGAATGCCCTACATTTTGGAAAAGAGAAAAAAATCAGCAAATTCAAACTCGAGATCAATCATTTTAACGCCAAAAGGCATGATTAATTGTTTTAATAAACTGACAGCTTAGCAACAACTCTTCCCATAAATAACTCTCTGAATATAAGTGCGCTGAACAATGTTACAAGAAACACTGAAGCCGTAATAAGTACAATAAGTTTTTGTTTTTTTTAGGATAAACATGGTAAGACCACGCATGTACTGACAGCTCTGCAGTTTCCTCTGTAATTGAATATGTTGTGTAGTGCAAATGTTAATGAAGACCTGGTTAACTAGACACAGGGAACCCTGGTGTGAGAGTCTGGTATGACTGCAGGCTTCCGCAGCTGCTTCTGCTAGCACATGGTTTTATTTTGACAGCCGAAGCAGCAGCACTTCTCAAAGACTAAATTTTAAGTATATCACTGGGAGAAACTGTACTTCTTACCTCAAGTCCACTAAGCCAGAAACGAGAAATTACTTAACACCACAGAGACACATCAGAGCCTATGGGGACCTGCTAGAGTCGAGCAAGAACTGCCCTACTGCACTGCTGTTCAGTCAAGCTGTGGGAGGATCTATCTGTGCTCATTTGTTAAATGATCAAGGGAAGATTCGCTCTTGAGGGTGTTACATGCTCAAAAGGCTGTTAAACCGCGTGTATAACCTGTGTAGCTCACCTCAGAAACAGTCGTGCACTAGTAGCGCATTTTCTCACTTGTTTTGCAGCAGGTTGGACAGTTGCATAGTGTTGACTGTTCTTTTGTTTAAACCTTAAAATTGAATTTAGAAAGAGGCTGTAAACAAGGCACGTTGTTTCAGCTGGAAGCAGCTTTCAGAAACCCAACACCACAGTTAACGTACCCCCCTGTGAGCTCCATCCGCAAGTCCCTCTCGCTGTAAGTCACAAAACAGTTATCTCCTCAAATCTCACAATACATACATACACAGAGCTCAGTCTGGACAAATTTTCTCATCCCTTGACGGTAGCTTCCATATGAAAGTGTAAAGCAACCTGCCTTAGAATAAAGCCACACCTGAACCGGCTTTTTTTTTCCATTGAGGACCCATCAGTTTCTTGTGTATCTACCATAGACAGGCTTGCTTCTATTTATTGCTACAATTACAGCTTTTAGTGTCCAGCGCAACAGCAATGCCATTCAATTACACTAATATGAAGATGATTGCAGACACATTAATGAATTTCCAGCCTGGTGCGGGATAGGTAGTGGAATAATTACTCATTTCTGCACTACAGTAAACCTGTTTTTTTGTAGTCTCGGGGATAAAAAACAGCCCAAATGATCTGTTTGCGAGTGTATCCATCGCTGGGACTATTTAGATCCGCCATCTGTAAGACACCTGTGGCATGTAGATAGATTAACCATGGTGCTTTTACACTTAGTTTCTCGCTGATAAGAGACTGTTAAGTTGCTGCTGACCACTGATTGTCAAAGTACCTCCAGGAGAGATAATTGGATTTGACTATTGTGTACAGAATCGGCTCCTGAGTTCTGTTCCAGCGGTTATTGGATTTTCAGAGTGTGCCAAAATGCTTAGGAGACAGAAAATCAAGCACTTTGTTTGGATCAAGCCAATCAACCGTAAAAGCCTTTAAAATGTCTTTAACCTGAATATTTACTTGCTGGAATTGAATGATATAGGTTTCATTGTCTTGATGTTGCCTGTGTGTTTTTATAGGGAAGAAGACCGGGGTATTTCTCCTTTTTGGATCCGTTCTCTCCTGGGGTTTGGCTTTTCATGTTGCTGGCATACCTGGCAGTCAGCTGCGTGCTCTTTTTGGTGGCGAGGTAAATATTCAGCTCCATACTGACACCTGCTGGATCTTATCATTAAAGGGGTAGTGCAGCTAAAAATGGAAGAAAGTCTCTCATAATTTACTTATCTTCTTGTCACTCCAAACCTGTGTGACTTTTTGAAGCAGCATTTTAAAGGACATTGACTCCATTGTCTTCCATACAATGTAAGTGGAAAGCTCCAAAATGGATAAAAAGGTCCATAAAAGCAAAATAAGAGTTGTATATCTTGAATCTTGCATTATATTCTAGGTCTTCTGAAGTCATACAGTAGCTTTATTTCTAAAAACAGACATTTTTTTAATTTGTAATTCACAAAAAATCTTACTTTACTGCTCTGGTCACCATTCGCTTTCTTTGTATGGAAACGAGTAGCTTGGACATTCAGCTAAACTTCTACTTTAGTGTTTCATGAAAGAAAGAAAGTCATAGATTTCAAACGGTGTGTAAATGAAAACAAAATTTGATTGATTGCTTGATTGATTGATTGATTGATTGATTGATTGATTGATTGAACTGTTGCTTTAACACTAAACTAGACATTATACAGTATCTCTAAACAAAACCTACTAAAGCCGGCGGGCAAAGATTAGTTGATAGGAATTCTGGAACATTCCTACTGTATGAACTAATCTTTGTGCTCTGATTTTAAAGGGAAGGTTTAGTGGTGAGGATTGTTAGTTCATAGGAGTGTTGCTGTTGCAGGATCAACATCCTTTGTTGGTCCTGAGAAACAGTCTGGACCTTAAACCTAACACTGAATCCCTGTTTTGTCAGAATGCTGTTCTAGGACCAGCATGGCTGTATCTGTAGACATTTCATTTTAAACTCACATTTTATTCCAGCTTTGCATTGAATCAAAAAAGAAATGTCATGTTTTATACTCTTTCACAGTGGCCTGCTGATTTTCCAGCATTCTGCAGGACAATGTGTTGTGTGTTTTTATTCACTGAACATTACCTGTCAAGACATTTTATATAAATTCATAGTTGGAGCTTTTGTGTATGCATGTGTTTTTCTTTGTTTGCCTCTCTATAATGTGTATATTTTTACACATTTGTTATTGAAATACGACCTGTGTTTTCTTTTCTGCATTGCTTGTGTTCAGCATTTCAACAGTAATGTGGGGTTGTCGCACACTTTGAAGAGTAACTCAGCAGCGTCCTGCGGTGCAGTGCATTTTTATTAGTGTCCTGTCAGTCACGGCTAAAGCTTGCACAGCCCCTTCAGGGAACAAAAACCAGGTTACGTGGCCAACAGGGAGCACTGGTGACTTCATGCTTTACCAACTGTTAAAATTGTTCCTGGCTCATTTATGTTTACTACCTTTTATCCTTTATTTTTTTCTCGCTCCTCTTGGCACACAGGCTAACACCTTATGAATGGTACAACCCTCACCCCTGCCTGAAAGAGCGATGTAGCCTGCTCATTAACCAGTATTCTCTGGGCAACAGTTTCTGGTTTCCTGTGGGCGGTTTCATGCAACAAGGCTCCACCATCGCCCCGAGAGCCCTGTCTACACGCTGCGTCAGTGGAGTATGGTAAGAGTGCATGCTAAATATTGTCTCCATTGTAAAAGGACCTGCATTGATGGTCACCAGCATATGTTGTGTTTGGATGATGGTCTCCAGGATGCGATTTATAAGGAATGTACAGAATGTCAGGGAATTTATTGATATTTTCTTATAAATTTTGTATGTAAGTCTCAGAAATGTACATATTTGTTGGTCATAGGTCTTGTCTTCATAAAAAAGGCCATGTATAGAATCATGGTATTTTTGTCTGAAGTTTTATGTCAATAATAATATTTAATCCCTGACATTCTTTGGATTACTAGAACATTTTCGTTTGTAATTGTCAATTTCATATTTTGTGTTGCAAAAAGACTATATTATATTTGTAAAAATGGTCAATATATTAATACAGGATTTTGACCATTATGAATATGTCTAAACTTTTTGAATGGTTCTGGTCTCATTTAAAAGGCATCCATGTAAAATCTGCCCAAAAGCCTTTGAAAACTTTTGTTGTGAAATAAGATCATACCAAAATAGTCTGCAAAAATTGCCAGGAAATTAAAATTTCACTCATAAACTTATTAGTTATACATATGCATTTGGCAAATTATTTATCCAAAGTGGCATTACATTACAATCAAGGTATAAACCAAGCTTTTTTGTTTTATCTACAAGAATGCTTATTGAATATTTGAAGTGAACAAATGATTGAAATATTTACACATTTGTATATAATAAAATTCTTAAAAAAAATATTTAATCCAATACCGATCACTTTCCCTTCTTTATGCATTCGATTTGGATATAGGTCTTTAATTTTAGGGTCAACTAGCTTAACCAACAAGACCTCTCTGAAAACCTGTTAGATTTTGCCTGCCTAAGCTGGTTTACCAGCTCGACCAGCACCCAAACCAGCATTACTCAGCCAGTCGAAGATGTTCTTTTCAGCAGAGTATCACATTCTGCTACACCCTGATCTCATTGTCAGTTGCTGGATACAGCAGATAAAAGTGCTACTCTCATTTGGCCTCTGTTTTTCTGCTGCGTTACTGTACTGTCATTTTTCGAGGCCTCGCAGACTGCAGCACACCGAGGTCAGTGGAGAATAAAAGAGAGCTATTTTTGAGTATTCTGAAAGGGCGTACAGTATTCAGAGGAGCCTTTCAACTTCTCATTCGGATGCGGAGCTCACAGTAGTGCCAAGCTCTTTTGATGTTAGGTCAGAGCTTTGCATTCGTCACATCTAAAACTGGTTTGTCATTCCAGGTGGGCCTTCACCTTGATCATCATCTCTTCCTACACAGCCAACTTGGCAGCCTTTCTCACTGTGCAGAGGATGGAGGTGCCCATTGAGTCCGTGGACGATTTGGCTGACCAAACAGCCATCGAATACGGCACCATGCACGGCGGGTCCACCATGACCTTCTTCCAGGTGAGATCTCCAAGGACAAAATGGAAGGGAACTCCACCCACAAATCAATGGCCTGTCGGCAGGTTTATTGACCATGTCACTAGCACTCTTCCCTACTTTGGGATTTATCTGTTTGCTGTCTTAATATCAATGCCCTTCGATATCTTGCCCTCTCCAGAGGGCCGCCCAGACTAATTCAAACACTTTGATGTGTCGAAGGGATGTTTCTCGACCCGCCCCTCAGCGAGCACAGACTGTTTCACATATTCAGTTGTCACATCAACATGTCAAACTGTCAGGTTATCAACCACCAAGTCCTTGGTTAACACAATCAGTCTCGCCTCCTCACAGCTCTAGTGATTGGCTGTCAGGACACCAGGCGAAAGTTGAGGAGCAAACGTAATGATCCTAATATCTCCTGTTTTCCGGTTAGAACTCTCGCTACCAGACGTACCAGCGCATGTGGAACTTCATGTACTCCAAGCAGCCCAACGTGTTCGTGAAGAGTACTGAGGAGGGCATCGCCCGAGTGCTCAACTCTAATTACGCCTACTTGCTGGAGAGCACCATGAACGAGTACTACCGCCAGCGCAACTGCAACCTCACCCAGATCGGAGGCCTGCTGGACACCAAGGGCTATGGCATTGGCATGCCTCTCGGTGAGAAAGAGTTCCTGTTCGAGAGAGAACAATGAATAGAGGTTTATGTGGAGTTAGCAGGACTTTTATTGATTGAAATGCAACCAGAGTGCAAAAATATCTGCATAGAACTGTAGCAGGGAATCTCGCACACTATGGAAAACTTTTTTTTTTTTCTTTTTTTTATGGTGGTTGCTAGTCGGATTGTATGATATGATCTCAGTGAGATCGTGGGTTGAAGCCAAGGCAGACTGTGCAACGTCAACTGCCATTTATGCTACTGAATGATAAACAACTTTGGTCACGATTGACAGTGTTGACTGGTAGATCAATCGTGTCACAATCTGACATACTCATTAACTTGCTTAATGGTACACACATTCAAGCAAACCCTTGCACTAATATATGTTTTACCTGAAAGAAAAGAAAATGTCTAAAGTGTGTGTAGGCAAAAAAAGGGAATTTAACTTCTTTTTTCAAAGTAAACCTGATGTAGTATAATCATAATATAAAGGAAATGCTAAATGACTTTTATAATATTTAAAGGGATAGTTCACCCAAAAATGAAAATTCTCCCATGATTTACTCACCCTCAAGCCATCCTAGGTAGGGATGTAACGATTCACTCAACTAACAATTCGATTCGATTCACGATTTTGATTTCACGATTCAATTCGATTCACGATTTTTTTTTTTTACAAAATGAGATTTAAGACAAATTATAAATTAAATGTGTCCTTTTATTATTGCTTGGACAAAATGCACGTTTCTTTGTGAAATTGAAATATAACACTATAATAATATACTAATATAGCACGTATAGCATATAATTACTGTTTTGTTGGTTTTGATTGCTTCTATTGTACGCTGTAAACAAAGCAGCGCTGCACTTATGAACTTTAATATGCATTATACAGAGGTATGATGAAAAGAAAAAATACCATCTAAACTTTTCTAAAGACAATAAATTCCCCTCAGACATGCATTCATATAAACCCTTACCCCTAAATGAATCGCGATTTGTTTCGCATCTCAACCGATTTGAATCGTCACATATTTAAATCGATTTTCAACTGGCTCGCGGTTAATCGTTACAAACCTTAATCCTAGGTGTTTATGATTTTCTTCAAATGAATACATTCTGAGTTATTTTCGGGAGAATTTTCATTTTTGGGTGAACTATCCCTTTAAATTAATTATTGTTTTATTATTTATATATAAAAAATATGAATAGGAAATATTTTGTAACATTATAAATGTATTTACTGTCATTTCTGATCAATTTAATGCATCCTTGCTGTATTGATGTATTGATTTATTTTTTTAAATCCTGAACTTTTGAACATTAGTTTAAATATTTTGAATTATAAATAATAATTATTTTAATTTAATTTAATTTATTTTTATGTTTTCTTTATTTTTTGCTGCATGCCATATAGACCACTGTTATATACAGTACTCTTGCACACACGTCATCAGTTGCTTTGTTCTTATTGGTTGTTTATTAGACGCAGTAGCAGTCACACTTCTCAACTGCGACCTAAAATTTCGGACACTGTCAGAACTTCGTCTGATGCATTGACTAATTGGCTATCAGTGAAAATATTACAGTAAGCTATCCAAGACTGCCAGTCTTGTCCCATAATGATAGAAGTCTTTTATGTCTCAGATGGCAAAATTTTAGCCAAAATTGCACAGTGCGCACCAGGCTTTCATCTGATAACTGAAGTTAAATGAATCCATTGACTGAATATAAATTGCACTGAATTGATTTGAACCAAGCTATGTCCGGCAGATGTTTTAATCAACATGATTAATGGCAGGGTTTAGTTTACAATAAGCTAAACGAACACCATTAGAGCAGCAGGAGTCAGCACAGCAGAAAATATATATCCAGCTCTGGCTTTTCACATCTCTAAGATGGATATTTTGTTTTAGGCTCAGTCTACAGAGATGAGTTTGACCTGGCCATACTCAAGCTACAGGAGGAAAACCGCTTAGAGATCCTTAAGAGGAAATGGTGGGATGGTGGCAAGTGTCCGAAAGAGGAGGATCATCGAGCGAAAGGTGAACCACCTGTCACTCAACTGCAGGTCCAAACAGAATCTTTTACGAAACTTTTATCATGTTGTGTGTTTTTGTGTAGGTCTGGGCATGGAGAACATCGGTGGGATCTTCGTGGTGCTTGTGTGTGGTCTTCTGGTGGCCATCTTTATGGCGGTGCTGGAGTTTGTGTGGATGCTACATCATACGCCAGCAACAGAGGTGAGAGAGGGCTATTTTACCTGCCTTTGCTTTCTGTCCTTCTCCC